GCAGGCTAGCTCCCAATAGCGCTTCCGTTAATTGAGAGTAAAAAGCAGTTATATTGGTTTTATGTTCAAAATCAGAGCAGTTACAGTCCATGCATGCAACTGCCTCTCTTGGTAATGTAATGGCGCCTAATAATCGATCAGTTTGGTTAAAGTACCGGGCTATTTGTTCAGTAGATAAAGAAGACCAATCTATACGTGTCTGAATATGATTGCTGTTTCCATATACAGTAGCGGGTATATGATCAAATCTAATAGACATCTCAAAAGGGATATGATCAGTAGTGGAGACATTGTATAAGATATTAATATATACCAGAGCAGCATGAGCATCTGCTGTAGTAATACAATGATCCAACCAAGACGTAGTATGCCAGGATTCACTTATGTACGTATAACTTGCAGCTGGCAAAAGTTCTTTGCTAGACAAAATTAGATTTGAATCCGTACAAAAATGATTCAAATGCCTTGAAAACAGCGAATTAGTATCTGATATGTCAGCATTCATGTCACCCATAACATAAATACTTTTTACCTTCTCGTTTTGCATAAAAGAGCTAATAAAAGCAAGTTTACTTAGGAATTCTTCTTCATTGTGATGACATTCATGTGGAGCATAGACATTTAAAATAAAGCATTCTTGTTCACGCTGCTTCACGTGTACTGCAATACACCAGTCTACACCAAGTCTAACGACATTTATCAGTGGGTCCAGGCTCTTTTTCCATAAAATAGCCACTCCTCCAGGTATCCTTCCTCTTTTAATACTCAAACTCAGGTCTGTAGAAGATTCTCCAGCACCCAGGAAAGTGTCATTAATAGAGTTTAGTCCTTTTAAATCCTGTTTGGCCAGAAAAGTTTCTTGCAAGCACAAGATGTCACAGTGCAGCAGCAACTGGTCAACAACCAAACGGCGAGCTTTATCATCTGCGCTCTGTCCTAAGCGCAGGCCACGACAGTTGTAGGATATGACTTTAATGTCCATAGAATTTATGGTTTTGTGCTCACGCCAGCGATAGAAACGCATATATCCGTAGAAGAAAGAGTAGCGTCTGCACCGATGATTGTTTTGCGTGGCTCATAAAACCTCCGCACAATAGTTCCCTCAGGCCAAAGCTCTGGGTTGTACATGACAGCCACTTCACTACATTCAGCAGAGACCTTGAATGAGGCATACCTGGTATTAACAGTCTTAATTCTCTGGCATGTAACCTTATGCCCAAGTTTAGATTTAAGATAAGCGCTTAGTGTATCTGCTTCGAGGTCAGGTGAGAATTTAGATGCAAAAACACTCACCAGCTTTGTTTTTACAATTTTGATGTTTCCAGCGGCACCAGTACCAACAATAGTCTGTCCAGCTTTCCTGCGTCCCAGTGAAGGACCAGAGCTAGCTGTTGAATTGGGAACAGCTAGCCCTTTGGGCTGACGATAGCGCCGTTTCACGACTTGGCTCCATTTAGGAGATCCCGAAGATGGCGAGGCCTCTCCGGCTGGCAGCGCTGGGACATCCCCCGTACCAGCTGAGAGGGGGTCCCCCTCCAGATCGCCATGACTAGGCTCCGTAACCAGTGCGGCGTTCAGATCCCTGTCCGCCGCACCTTTCTCCATCACCGATACAGACCGGCTTCCCCGTCCTTGTTCGGCGCTTTGTTCCAGAGCAGACATCCGGTGTCGCAGGTCCGTGGTAATATCGTGAAGATCTTCACTGACTTCAGTCTGAACTCTGAGTGTTTGCTTCATTGCAGATACTGCAACATGGAGCTCTTCCATTTTACGTAGCAAGCCGCAGACATCCATGTTAGTAAAAGTCACTGGCGGTAGCTCGTCCAGATAGTGGGACACAAATCTGGGAATATTATCCCCGCATTCGTTTAGCACTTTGAGACAGGCCTTCACATTGTTGATATCCTTTTGTGCTCCTTTATGCGAGATGTTCCGCTGGGAGGGAGTGCATAGCTCATATAGCGTCTTCTTTGAAGTTTCAATCCAATCTGAGTCGAAGGTGTTGACGGCCAACAAGATAATCTCGTCCTGGCTTAGCGTCTTTAGTTTGATAAAAAGAAAGTGTAAAAATTCATCCTCAACGATAATTTTATCCTCGACCGTCTTATATATACATGGTTTTAAGCGAGCTCTAGAAAACGCCGGAGATCCGGAAGAGCGAGCTACGCCAACGCCATCCACGTCGGCCATCTTGTCGGCCACACACACACATATTATATATATATTATATATATTATATATATA